TAGTTCAGCACACCGGTGTGTTGGAGAGTAAACCCATAGCATTTACAATTCAAGTACGATGTTCCGCTGGTAATTACAACGAGCTTCATCAGCCGATAGCCTGAATTGTGGAGAATTCTTCCTGTTTCAGTCTTATATAGAGGGGTAAAGGTGATGCCATCACTGTAAGCCTGTCCTAAAATTAACAATACTTTTAAATTAACTAAATTATATCTTCATTTTAACGTTCCACATTTTCAAATCAAATGAATCTACAGCCTGAGATGGTTCATAGTCTCTTACTCTCAAACCAATGATGCTGCTACCATTAAAATGACAGTGAAGACAATTATGAATAATGATAAGGGGAAACACGTACATGATATTAAGCTATGATGAAAATAATTGTCCTTTGTAGTTATTGGACTTTTATACGGTCAAGCTCATTTGCGATAAATGTGCTCATGGAAAACAATGCAAATGAGTTGCATCTAAAAACGAAATGATCTGTGGCCTGTGTTACCTGAACCACATCATTGCCAACTAACTTACATTTGAGTAGTAATGTGGGCAACCAAAACAAATGAATATCTCTAACTTGTTAATAAGTATTAACAATATACACATGGGTTAATTCACTCACAAATGATACTCATAAGGAGTGTAACAAAATAGACGAACAGACAATACATCTTTATATATGTATGTTTATCCACGTATAAAAAAAAACAAGTTTTTCTTACATAGCCCAATGGCCGCACTGCCTTCTGGGAGTGCGTAATTTCAGCATCATCGAAACAGTGCAATGGACCTCTCAAAAGACACGTTGCCTATAGACATATCGTCTGATTGAACTCTTTTGAATTCGACATGTAGGTAGCAGTGAGCCATCATTGCTCAAGCTCCACCCTTCAGCTGCATTTAGCACTATGGACCTCACGGTCCAATCTCCTGGTATATCTTGAGGTCCTTGTGAACTTTCAAGTATTAGTTTTAGCCTCTGTTGAGATGATATCTCTCTGATTCCCATGTTACTATTCTTAGCTGTCCATGTTAGACTGTAAATTGGTTGCTCTTTGTTGTACACCCAGCAATCTGTTCTGGGACCAAATTTTCAATTCGAGCATTCCCCACCTACTCTCCAACATCAGAGTGTGCAATCTTGAAGACGTTATTTATCCTAAGCTCTTATTCGCTTCCGATATAATTTATCTGTGAGGGACCTCCTACCTTTACCTGTGCAACATCTCCCATACCCTCCACTTCCTTGCCCCACATGCTGACGAGACCCTTACGCCTGCCTTCACCTCAATTTAAGAATAAAATGTTTATTCATTGCTAAGCGTCTGGCATATAGGTAGCAGAGATTAACTTTTCACTTAAAGAAGTGTTGGAATGTAATTCAATAAAGAATGCAGAAGTGTTTTTTATGAATAAAGAATTTGTGTAGTATACAGTGGAGTGTAAAAATAAAATCTAACTTGGGCCTTTTAGCATTTCTGATTCGTGAAAAAGTATGGACTTTGAACATAGAATACTGTATTTAGAGGACTGTATTTCATTTTACTTGTGAAATTAAGTGGGCTTTGGATAGGACACATCGTGAGAAGGGATGATGATTGATGGGCAAGATTGGTGATGAAGGTGGCAGCCAAAGGACAGAACGCAACCAAGAGGGCCGACGACTGTGAAGATGAACCGAGGAGTCTGTTCGTGTGTAGAAGGCACGATGGACGGTGAAATCGCAGTACGTAGTATCACTGTGGATGGCGAAGACATTGAATTTTTTTTCTACCCAGCAGCGGGTAGCCAATGGCTGATGGTGATTACATTTAGAAATTATTTATGCACATACATTTGCATACTTGTAATACGAAACCGAGTAAAATCAAATACGCTTGTGAATGGTCAATAGGATTCCCTTACATTCCCCAATTGTTGATTTTGAAAGAAAACACTGGGGATTTGGACTTCACTGTTCAGGCGCGGACAGTGGAGCATTATTTCGGTTCTCTTTGCCTCATATGCATTTTGTGCGTGGAATCCTTCTCCATATCTCCCCACCATCAGCTCCCCCCCCCCATTCCAGGCAACGGAACTCCCTTAACAATACCCCATCCTGCGTGTAATCCTGTCCCACCACCATCTCCGCAATGCCAGCCGCCGGTGCTAACCGGTTGCCACAAGCGTGACAATAAAAGTCTGTGCACGTTTCCAAACGATATGGGTCCCCCCCCCCGCCTCTAAGGCACGACCAGAACCTACAGATGAGCATGGAGTAAGCACAAAATCGAATTTTCAAACACAAATCATACACAAAGACGACTGTAGGAGGATTTAAAGGGCCACAGCAGACTCCATTGTATGTAATAACGAAGAGGTAGTAAGGCATTAAGAATGGATGTTTGCATTGACAGTGCATGAGGACGACGACGTGGTAAGTTTTAGCTTTTAAATAAAGCTAAAAGAGCACACATACAGTACGTGCATTTGCAGTGTCTATAACCTGCCGGTGCTGCCTGAAAATCAATCATGTAACGCACCTGCTCCTTGTTCCCTGAATTAATCATTTACTTTTTTCGGATAATGTTACTAACAGCCATTCCCGGGGCCTCTTGGAGACCCGTGCGGTCAGGCGACTGGCACGTGGTCACTTCAGGTCTCTACACACTTGGGCGCTCGTTAGCAGACATCTAAATTTAGCCACAATAATGAGAACTCAGTATTCATTAGGATCCGGTGGCAAAACCAGCGTTTGTTGTGTAACGGTGCAATGCATATATACACACACACAAGGATTAAACATGTATTCACGCTTGAAATTGGGGAATTCTACTTGATCGTTCACAAAACCATTCTGATGGAATTGAAACATTCATTAGAGCCTGAATGTGTACGTTTGCTCTAAATACAGTAAACAGCTGGCACTCGTATACAAATTATGGATTCGTAATTTATAGTATCGTTAACATGCTTAATTTACATCACTGAGATTAGAGTTTGATATTTTGGTTATACAGACATCCCATGCTTTCGAATTATTGTATAAGGAGGCCCTAACCTGAATGAAGCTGATTTGAAGCTGTCGTGTCTGCAGGATTTCATACTCTTAGGTTTTTTCGGTAAAGTCACGTAGATAGGGAAAGAAAGAAATAATAGATCACTACATTTCCATCGCAACGTCGTGATCGTTTATTTATTTTTATATCTACGTGACTTTACCAAAAGAACCTAAGAGTCTGACTAAAGCTACTACGCGAAACATGTTTGAGTTTTATCAAAGGTCTGCATTACGTTACAATACGAGTATGGACAGCAAATATAAAATATGCTTCTGAGTCTTTTGTATATATATTTTTTACTTTAAAAGTGAAGGGTAATATTAACTAATTCATAAATCAATTATCGATCACTTGATTATTGGACGTCTGTGAAAAGGCGCTTAACAGCTCATTGGATTCCTCAATCTATTCTGATTCTGACTGATTGACATCACGAGGTGGCAAATATGGCTTAAAAATAGCACCCATAGATATGCTCAATTGTGGTATATACAGTATAGTAGAATACATACGCTCATAAAAGATGCATGTTAAATAGTATAGATTAGATATGTAACGATTCACATACCAGCAATTCAATAAATTGTCACAATTTTCAGTTGCAATTCGACTCAGGAACACTTTTTTTTAATAATGGTATTTATCCATTACAGCCTTTGCACTAATAATTGATCATTATTTATCGCATTTGTTTTTTTTTTACGCCATTCTTACAGGGCAAGGCTTTGACAAAGGTGCTATGTTCACAGACATAGTTCGCAACAGTTTTCGGGTAGGTGGCCATGTTGCTATGTGCAACCCCGCTTGAGTACAGTAATTTGCAGGTAATTTTGGAATTTGGAAAATTTGGAACACGACCCCAGGACACAATGGCCCAGCCTTTTTCATGTGATGTCACAGGATCTCAAACATCCACTGTGAAGCGGATGACGCATATTTTACAGTGAATACAATACTATCTGTACAGCGCTGCCTGTCTCAATACTCTTGGCTGTTTCCAGAGCAAATTGACTGTCTCACTTATACTGTCTTGTTTGTATTGTCAGCTTCCTCTGTTCTCGTACATCCTCAAGATACATTTCCACGTTGTGTCCATTTTACGTAATATAATAGCATCTTACAATTGTGATTTGTGATTTAATGCGTATATTGTGAGCGTACACATCTATTTTAATCTGTGAATCAATAGAACGTTACAGGCCTGGTAAATAGATGGGCCAGCAGTAACACGTTTGCCATTCTGCAGTTGGAGCCCATGGCTTCTCTGGCTAATTCTATAGGTGTATTAATTGTAAACAATGCGTGCCATCCCGCACTTCTGATTATCACGAATGAAGCGCAACATACATAGATTCATAGTGGGCATTAAATAGCCTGTGATATAAAACAATGGTTGGCCATGTGCGCCAGCATCATGATCCAAATTATTTTAAAAAATCGCTTTCAAGATACTTAATTGCATATTAATCGTTGCTGGTACAGCTAAAGCTTATCAGGACACACATGAATAAGTCTTGAAATTCAGTGAAACATTCCTGGGTAAAAAAATAATAATAATACATGGTGTGACAGTTGAAACAATGGGCAGGTTTCTCAAATCCACTCCCATATGTCCACTCAGCAATATAAATGGTACACACCACAACTAATCAATTGGCAGGTCACATAGTAAACCGTGGGTAGTCCCACCTCTTTTAATAAATTCTATTCAGCATGGAAGAGTAAGCTAAAATACCCACTGCAGGGGCTTTATAGAGCTCCACCTGTCCGGCAGTGGCATGAGCAAGCAATTGCAAGGATGCACCTTTTACTTTCTTTACCATTTACACGGTAGCTGTATGTGTACTGTATACTGCACATTGATGGATCAATGTAGCCAGGGACTGATGATGTATCCTCAGGAACATGCTCAATGTCATGCCATGCAATGGGTACGATGGAAGCCCGTAGGTGACATACCTCGGGCAAGCTGTGCTGCTTTCTGGAGTGGGCGAAGGTGGAATGAGAATGGTACATGGGGAATGAGTTTTGTTGCTCACTTGGACAGTAGCTGCTGTTCCGGCCAAAACATTTACAGCGCCGGCAAAAGTAGATCATCTGTAGGAAAGCAAAATAAAAATGTGTGAGTTATCATTCAAAACATACCAAACATATACAGTATTATCAACACTTAATGTGTTGTTAAAAATGTTTAGTTAACATATGGCTTTGGTATTTTGAACTTACTAAGATAGACTGGTTCGTAGCAGATATCACTAAACCCTGGGATGTTCGGAGACAATCTACATTTTGTTGTTGTTGGTGGTGTTACTTGTTGACCCGCCCCTACTGGACATCTGTGAAAAAGAGCTTCATAGCTAATCGGATTCCTCCAGTCTAAATAAAGATTCTGATTCTGATAATCCTGTATTGAAAATGTCTCAAATATGGCACAGTCAACTTGTTAATGATAATATGTTTTGAAAAAAAAACCTCATTACATTTGTTAATGAGATTAAACTTTAATTGTTGTCACTGTTTTGTAACAGTGAACAGATTGATCTATAATGAATTAAAAAAAAAACAACCAATTCCCTTGTCATTTAAAGAACCTCAATGAACGTTAATTCGTGTTTTGTTTGGACCAACAGTTGGCATCCAATTGTAACATGCACGTTTTAGATCCTATATATTTTAATATTATTTTATTCAGGCTTTGGCCAGGTAATACAAATACATTTAGAGAAAGGTAATGAGCAACAGTGTTTTCCTGGCTACTTAAAAGAAGAAAATGGGTTTCAATTTGTAATAAATAATATTTTCTATAGAATGCAAGTATATAACTTGGTAAGAATCTGAAATAAAGAAACAATGTTTTGCGTGTTTCGCCACCAATATGACAATATGGTAGAGCAGAATTGGCCTGCTATCTGCTGGTGTCAGCAACACACTTTATGAAAAAGTAATTGTAAAATGTAGTTATAAAAAAAACATGTGATATCCAGCTACAACATTTCATAGACCTAGGTTAAAGAAAGAAAAAAATATGAAAATTTGTCTTCCAGTTTTAGGAGGACCAAAATCAACAGTTTTATTTTTAGAATTTAACATCTGCTAAGCAGCCTGGAAAACCCACCAGTACAAACTGTCGTAGGCCTTCGTTTATCTATGAAAAAGGTTAATACATTTTTTGAAGACTAACCCTTGCAGAATATAATCAAAATTTGATGTAAGTTCACTCATTACGGGCTATATATTATTAGATGTGCTCGTGGCATGCGCACAAAATGTGCAAAATTTATATCCCATAATATCCTGTGAATGGTGTCATGTGGCTTATTTTAGAACTCCCAACGAAGTGACATCACGAGTCTTTATCTCATGTTCTTTAAGAGTCCACCTAGGACAATCACTGTACTCTGCTCTATTCAGCTGCAAATGCAAGTGAGTAGTTTTCCCTGCGACTATCCGTAAAATACTATTTGTTTTCCGAGCAGGGTTAAGCTGAATTAATTTAAAGCCAACATTCACATAGTCATTTGTGTATGCCTCAGTAAATAGGCCGAGACTATCAATTAACCACACATGAGCACTTCATTTTACCTGACATAAATTTGAAACCAGGACATCAGCAGCTTTAAGACAATTCACAAATATCAACCTGGACATGGCTAAACAACATTTGAACTTGCTCACTCTTCATTATATAATTACAATGGTGAGAGTACTGAATAGTGATCACAATAAAGAGCAAAATGAGAGTAATGAGTGCGCCCAGGCTTACACAGCCGATGAAAAGGAATATGTTGATGAAGAGGATCAGACTCGTCATGACGATGAGAGCGATGCCCCAGTCTGGGAACAAGTTCGGAGCGCTTGTCGTCGGTGTGCCTTGACCAAAATAAAAAAAAAACATTTTTAGTTTTAGTGTGGGCTTGCAGTCAAACATAAAATATCATAAATGCACAAATTGAGACAGCGCTTACATTCTATTAATTATCAGGCATTATTGTACCACTATACCTATACATTGTTTAATTTCATGCATTGGTAATTTATGGGATAAAACAGTGACCGATTTAAAGAAAACAACCCCTATCGTCAACCCAAGTTTGTTACATGGAACACTATTCATTTAAATATATAAAAGTACTGTATCCATATACAGTTCTTGAATTAGTGTCATATCATGATGGTAGCATTTTTATCACCCACATATATTTTCAAATTGAAAAGGTTTCACCACTTTTGGAGAAAGTAATCTTCATGAGTAGCTGGATCCTGGTACATATATTTTTTTATCATACCAAATAAGGCCCACTAAGCTATCTGGCTCTTTTTCAGAAGTGACCTGGCCACAAATGATAGTGGCTTATCACCTGGAAATGTATAGCAGCCAAATACTCTCAATGCATGTTTCTAAACGTGGAAGGTAAAAACTGGGGGACCCGGAGAAAAATCCACACGACCACGTGGTGAAAGACATGCAAACTCCAAATATGCAGGCGTCAGGATCGGGATCGAACCCACGACCTCCTGTATTATGAGCTCAATAGGCTAGGAACCCACAAGGTCGTGAAACCCTAGTCAACCAATTGAGCCTTCAATAGACCAATGACATCCACATGAGGAACGTGAGTAAAACACGAGTAAAACATGAGACACAACAAAATACCCCCTGTTAGGTCAGATGCCTGCATTTACATGGTCCGCACTGTGGTGGCTGTAAAAAGAGGGTTAGCCGATCCGGTCTCTACAGCTGAGTAATTGGGGCAGGGTGAAAATAGGCTATTTAAATTAAAATAGGTTTTTCTTTTCCCGGATTAACTTTAAGGTCCAAGTGAGTATAGCGCAAGGGGCATTTCCCTACTTTCTACCAAGCAGATAAGGCAAGAATAGTGAGCAAGTGAACCGAAATTGTATTCCATCATTAGCTGTAATGGCCATTGCAACATGTTGCATTGATTCAGGGAGCTTGAATAATGGACTACTTTAGTGAATACTTTAGTGAAATGGGCAAAACGATTGACAGCAGCCAGTCGGTATATAAACCATCATTAGCAAGAACATTGTGAAAGTATGTTGCCAGGTTTTTATTTTATTTTAATGTAACTATGATGTTAGACATTGTGATATGACTGTAGCCAAAGCCGATGCGACAAATGAGGCTGTAGAAGATGAATCCATACAGAACTTGTATGACCGAATACAATTTTTGTTCGATACAACTCCAAAGCATAATGTTGTCAATACACAAGTGGGCACTAAGTATGACAAACAGGGGTATGTGCTTATCCAGCATGGCAAAGAACAAGAAGACATATTCTTGGGTCTTTCGGTAAAGTCACATAGATAGGTTCAAAGAAACACCAACACTTACTTCACCTGGAATGGAACATTCTACAAACAAGTTGAAGGTACCCCAATGGGTTCTCCCTTATCTCCAGTTTTAGCCAATGTGTTCATGGAAATATTTGAGACAGATGCCATCCAGGCATCCACTCTACATCCATCCTTGTGGAAGAGGTACGTAGATGACACGTTCGTCATCTGGCCACATGGCCGACCAGCTCAGAACCAATTCCTCAACCACATCAATTCCATACACCCAGCCATCAAATTCACCATGGAGGTGGAAAAGGATGGCAAGTCACCATTCATGGATGTTTTAATCGAAAAGAGACCAGATGGTTAAATGGGACACTGTCTACAGGAAAGCCACCCATACGGATGCCTACTTAAAAACCTGACTCCCACCACCATCCATCCCAGAAGAATTCCGTCATTAAAACTCTACACCATAGAGCTCGATGTATTTCCGACCGTCATCACCTAGCCAGTGAACTGGAACATGTACACCAAGCTCTCAAGATGAATGGATATTCAGACCACACAATCCGTAAAGCTATCACCCCAACTGTTGGGAAAGAACCATCTGAGGACCCAATCAAAACCATAACCTTGCCATACATAGCAGGGATCACTAAAAAAATTCCAATATTATGAGCAAACACAAGATCCAGGTTCTATTTAACAAAGTACATAAAATTCGTAATCTGATCCCATCTGTGAAGGATGTGATCCCTGACATGCAATACCCCGGTGTCTACAAACTAAGCTGCGTCTGCGGCAGTAGTTACATTGGGGAAACTAAGCGACATGTCTCGGACCGTGTTCGTGAACATAAGGCAGATCTGAAACATTGTAGGACCAATACCTCGGCCGTGGCTAATCATTGTTTTAATGCGGTGGGCTCACACAAAATTGATTTCTCTAAGACGAAGGTACTTTGCAAGCCCACTGGCTATCAACAAAGATGCATTCATGAAGCCATCCAGATATATAGACACAGACACAATTTCAACCGAGAAGATGGGTACAAACTGAGCAATCATTGGAAGGACGTTATTATCCAGTTTAAGTCATAACTGGCTGTGATGTTTCCATCCTACCTTCCGATGTTAGTTATTTTCGACTCTCTGGTTTTACATTAACAGGTTAAATGTCTCACACTAACACAGCCACCGTCGCTCGTGTCCTCGAGGTTGCAGTGGCTCTGCGATCTTACATTGACATGCTAATCTCTCACAATACAATGGCCACCTCCTCAGCTTCGTCGTCGTGGAGGTGGCTATCCGATCTTACATTGACATGCAAATTTCTCACTTTAACATCCCTAGCCCCACTCACTTCGTTTATAACCCTTGGGCTACACCCATTTCAAACCTTTAAAACAGCCTGCCTCAGCAGCTTTCCCGCTTTTTTCTCCTGATGACGATTGCTTGTGTTGCAATCGAAACGTCGTAGTTTTTTGTTATTTTTGTTATTTTCTTTGAACCTATCTACGTGACTTTACCGAAAGACCCAAGAATATGAATTCCTGCAGTCACGAAAGCTTTAAGTCAAGATTTAACAAGAAGACAGTAATGGAAATTGACTGCTTGCGTTTTCTGTGGAACCAGGCAGGTCATCTGTAATACCCAGTTTCAACACATTTTTTTTACTGAAAATGACAGATATAATCACATGCTGCAACTGATACTCAGATTGCACTGTGACCGATGAATAGCACAGTCCATCTATTTTAAATCCTAGGGTTTACTTGGGTATAGAAACAATAACTTGTTTATTGCAATGATAAGAGTGATAATGGTAGGCACTTCGACAATAACCCTACCCTATAATAGTGACAAGAATTCGCTTTCACGACGTCAAATCTGGTGATGGCAAACTAAATATTGGGAGTGTGGGTGGTGCTCACAGCGAGTCAACCCAGTCAGTTAACTTGTAACATCTGGGCCTGTCCCATGACCTCCTGCCAGATAGACTTCGCCCCGTAATATGGCCTCAAAATACACCGAGTCTGACACGAGTGCTGTGGTGACATCACCTCCTCTTTGTGGTGAAAGGCGGCTGTTGTTTTTGTGTGTACGTGTAGGTGTATGTGTGTATGGGGAGCGGTAGCGTAGCGGTTTGCACATAGCACTACGAAGCTGGCTACCCGAGTTCGATTCCCGCTCACAGTCAACACCAGTGACGATTATCTAAACCGGTTCTGGGCATCCCCTAGGTCGACTCGGCCTCATATGAGTACCTGATGTAACCATCACCACAAAGGTGGTGTTGGCTACCCCACCCCCTCATGTGCCATGCCAGCTTTCATAGGTACTCGCTAACAGTATTTGCCCCACCGTTCTGTTAAGGCTATACGGGCGGTATTTGTCTTTGTGTATGTAGGCATGCATTTCTGCCATTTATGTGTCTTTGTACAATAATTTGTGGGCGTATTAATGGGTTATGTACATTTATTGTGTGGGAATGGAACATGGTATATATTAAGTAGGTCTACTTAAAACAAACATACATTGACAAATGTATATTTTATATACAAAAATTTATGTCATCAGTTTATTTTTGTTTTTCACTGAAAGAAATGTATAACTTCAGATTTTGTATTTTGGAAAAATCCAAGGGAGGCTTTAGACGTTTCGATATACAATCAGAAAATTACGATTCTAGATTTAAAGCTTTCGTGACTGCAAGGATCCATACTCTTTGGTTCTATTCGGTAAAGTCACGTAACAAACAACATTAAATAAAAATAAAAAAATTCACGACGTTTCGGCCACAACACAAGTGGCCTTCATCAGGTGAAGGAACCATGCTGTCATGAGGACAGCGTTGGAGCGAAAACAGCCAAGCCCAGGTCGCGTCCTTTAAGCTGTGTGGGAGGAAGCAAAGCGCTTGACAAAGGAATTAGTATAGAAATGAGCACGATGTACGTAGGAGGTGCATGGGCCATGATGGACCAGGAGCGGGTGGGGGGGGAGTAGAGTGAGTGGAGTGAGTGGAGTGAGTAGAGTGAGCTCGAGCTTGACTGTGTGCACTCCAGCGCTGTCCTCTGGACAGTCTTGTCCCCTTCACTCACTCTACTCACTCAACTCACTCCACTCACTCACTCCACTCACTCACTCACTCCACTTACTCACTCCACTCACTCACTCCACTCACTCACTCCACACACTCACTCACTCACTCCACTCACTCACTCACTCCACTCACTCCACTCACTCACTCACTCCACTCACTCACTCACTCCACTCACTCACTCCACTCAATCACTCACTCCACTCACTCACTCCACTCACTCACTCACTCCACTCATTCACTCACTCCACTCACTCACTCCAATCACTCACTCCACTCACTCACTCCACTCACTCGCTCCACTCACTCACTCTACTCCCCCCCCCCACCCGCTCCTGGTCCATCATGGCCCATGCACCTCCTACGTACATCGTGCTCATTTCTATACTAATTCCTTTGTCAAGCGCTTTGCTTCCTCCTACACAGCTTAAAGGACGAGACCTGGGCTTGGCTGTTTTCACTCCAACGCTGTCCTCATGACAGCATGGTTCCTTCACCTGATGAAGGCCACTTGTGTTGTGGCTGAAACGTCGTGAATTTTTTATTTTTTGTTGTTTGTTACGTGACCTTACCGAATAGAACCAAAGAGTATAGAAAATTACGACTTGGAATTCCCCCCCCCCCTCCTAATTTTTAAACCAATTAAGTGAGCAACTCTACTAGGACAGCAGGTGTGAGATCTAGAAGAAACTGATGATGAAACATGGTGGAACTACATAAACTAAACAAAAATGTTTTTTTTATTTGACCAGGTAAGGCCCACTGAGAAGCCACCTAACCACAAATGATAGCTCAACGAAGTGGCTCATCACGTGGAAATGTATAGCAGCCAAATACTCTGAACGCATGTTTCGAAATAGTGGAGGACCTGGAGAAAAAAATCCACTAGACCACGGGGAGAACATGCAAACCCCAAATATTCAGGCGTCAGGCTCAGGATTGAACCCACGACCTCCTCCACATCATGTGAGGTAGTTAACATCTCGCCACTGAGAAGGGGGAGGCAGATAACACAGACCTGAACAAATGTTATACCATTACAAAGAGAGGATACAGAAAACATGGGAGTAACCCTAGAGGGAAAAGAATATTGATTAATCCAGGTAAGGTGTTTACCGGTGTTTTGAATATAAGCAAATGTAAGCTCGCTTCATGGAAGACCAGTTTAGCCTGGAGATATACTGTGTTTACTGTTGGCAGCGAATAAAGAAGAGCTGGGAATATCTAAGGATTAATTTTCAAGACCTTCAAATAGCATATGATTTTGTTTGCACATTATTGAAAAGTTATGAAATTATCAGTAAAGTAATCTGACTGCCTTTTAACTTGTATACAGTAATGGAATTCCAGCATGTGTGCAGTTAGATGGAAATAACCTTTGAAAATAAAAATAAAAACCTGGACTGGTTATTATATAAAGCACAATATATGAAAATGGTTTATAATGGCTCAAATTAAGAAAAATGATTCCGAAAATAACCTTCAGTTCCTATAGCAGATACATTTTTTTTTGGAATGTGAATATAATTTAGGCGGATGGCGCAACTTCTTATCAAACAAGTTTTCTTTCGTTATTTACCAGATTTTCTTGAAAAAAAAATCGTAAATGCCATAAAATTGCAATAGAGTGAACTTCATGATTTGATGCCTTTTTTAATGCGCAGCGGGGATCACTATGAAAGGGTGTTGTCACCTCATACATTCTACTGAAGACATGCCCTTTAACCATTGCGCGTGTAACATGTTTAATACATCATGAATTGCACAGGTGTGTGCACATACGCTGACACGACCCAATAAGGCATTACTTTACAGTCTAAAAATATTTTTAGCTCTAGTAGTATACCACCAAGGTTAATATAATCAAGTTTACCATGTCCTCTATTAAGATATTGCTTTCAATTTGGAAATTGGACGCACATCCCTGTACATGATCCTCCTGAGTAATAGCCTTGAGACTCGGTGAGGCTTATCTGAATTAACAAAGGGCATACTATTATACTATACTAGAACCATATTAACTATATGGGTCAATGTGTACTGTGTGTACATTCATTAGGATTCAAGAGTGATGGATAAGGCTTTTGGTAAAAAAAAGCCACGTCAATTCAAAGAGGCAGAGGATATGAAACATTCATGCAGCGTCGCCCCCTCTACCATACAGTACCATGGGCTTTACGCTGCCAAGCAACTCAAAAACAAATCACCAATTCAACAAGCAACAATAACTAATCAACAACTACATCATGAAACAACAACATTATCATCGAACAACTGGCACAACAACCCCCTGAAAAAAATCAATAACAACAATCAAACTGCAATTGAAAATAAATATATGTACTCAACAGCATCCTACCCAACAGCAATTCAATAACCCACCAACGCAATCAGCTGACAATAACGACTTAAAACAGCAATCAGGGAAACAACACAACAACCAATGACAATCAACCCATGAAGAACGAAGTAGCCAGAAACACATTTTTTAACAACCCAAGAACAGATTATTGTGATAACAACCAAAACACAACCATAATTAAAGATGATACTTCAAATGTAACTAGATGCTTAAATTGAGAACATGTTTTTGATATTACTACATTTTGGATATTTCATGGTGGTGTCCTGTTGTAACGGAATCAACAAACTCATTACCTGCCAAGTGTAACATTATATATATACATTGATTGTCAATTGTTCGTAGAATACATGGTCAAAGGTAACAACGAAATGCTGATGAAAATTTGTGGATGTAAAAAATTAAAGTAAGTTGTATTGGCTGTCTAAAGATTAAATGACAAAAATCGTTTATAGCATTGAAGGGTTTCTTTAGAAAAGCATAATTGGCAATTGTTTTTTCAAAATGACAGAGGTCACGAACATTTTTATTGCGTGTGTTGATTTCACATGGAATACCCATTGGGGAGACAGTCTCTCCTGCATACTAAGTGTATGCATCTGAAATGACACCCAGGCAGGTTCAAGTGGAATCGAAACCCAGGCAACCAATGTCAATCAGGGAAGGCCTCTGTGCTTAGCCTGTGAGAACCCATTGAAAGCATGGATGGGGGTGCTTTGTGACTTACTTGTCGTTTGCGTCCCAGAATTTACATCTATAAACATTTTAAGCACAGACATACACACACATATTTTAGGCTCATAATATAACAAAAATAGCAATGATAATAATAATACCGATGGATAAAAATGCTATGAAAAATATTCCTGAACCAAATTAATATTCTGTTACTGAAACGTTTGTTTAGCATGAACATGTATTTAACATTACGCAATATTCAGTGGATGAACCAAATGTATAAGGAAAAACACAGTTTGTTTATATATAAAAAAAATGTGCAGTGTTCACACTCATATTTGTGATGTTTGTCAAAGTAATGATACAAATCAAAAGATCATCATGATCAAAAGCCCTGATGCTGCCACACCCTCACCATCACTCCGTTCCCCATTCCAGATCCTGCAACTGTCACTGAAGTCTGCCCTTGGTGTATTTTTCTTTCAAATTATTATCATTTTCTGCATAGAACTCTATTCAAGGGCTGGAAGATGTTCTTCTCATTACTTTGTTACAGTGCAGATATGTGATTCATGAATTGGGTGAAAGGTAATGGGGTGGAAAGTTCCAGTCACAATAGCCTCTTGCAAAGAGTATTCCATATAATTCATGACTAAAATGACACAATGTCTACGTTTGCCTCTCTCTAACCTGCTGCCTCCGCTCTGTTAACTTAGTCTGCATTCTTGCCAGACCTTCATGAGCATATATATAGGTCAATGCTTACATGTACTGATATTATCCCCATGGCTTCTTCAGTTTGAACACCTCCGCAGTGTTTCCCTCTTCACCATCAGACCTGTCCCTCTGCCACTGTCTCAACCATGGCTCTTAAAGTAAAAACGATTAAACTAATTTTACATGAGTTAGGCCCACTGAGCTATACAGATCTTTTGTTTCATAAGTGACATGGCTACAAATGATAGCTAAACGAAGTGGCATATCATGCGGAAATGTATGGCATCCAAATACTCTAAATGCATGCTTCTTAATGTAGAGGGGAAAACCGGAGAACAATCCACGTGACCACAGGGAGAGAGGCATGCAAACTCCAAATATGCAGGGTTCAGGTTTGGGATCGAACCCACAAGCGCATGCGTACCAGGCACCGCTGTGTTTCTGGTTCTGATTTACCTTCTGTCAGGTAGAGCTCAAAACCTGCGTCAAATGCTTTTATATTTGTTGCCTTCTGGAACTACAGCACATGCCTCCGGATCACACTGCAATGTTTACTGTAAATCTAAAGTGGCTTAAAATGTCCACCTATCAAGGACAAGTTGTGTTTTGTCCAGTTCATACCATGGGACACATTTATTTTGTGAAAAAAAATAATCGAATATATATTTAAATAAATGTTTCATTGGAAAGTATATTCAACTTATATTTATTTAAGACAAATGGTGCATTTGCAAAAACAGGATACACAATAGCGGTTAACATTGCACATGTAAAAAAGCTGAACTTAGGCCTATAGTGTACACATAAATAAAACATTCTCACCAGTCACTTTGATGCTATCGGGGCTGACTTGTAAATGACCAAGCTGACTGTCCTTTAGTCCTTGCTTAAATGTGTCTAGAACTCCCATATTATTGACAACTGGGTTGTTGGAAAACACCACCCTGGTTTCTGCATCAATTGATCCTTTCCTAAAAAAAGACATTCAAGCATTAATACACATACAGTATATATACATTAATGCCCTCTAAAACCAGCCAGGAGAACATTGAGGGTCTTCTTTTGCAATAAAGATCTGTGTAGATATAGAAAAAAAATATAAGTGACTGCACTGGTAGTGGTATAGTGTGCAGGTACATTAAAAAAAATATACCACATTAAGCATTAACATTGCTTTCTAACAGATAACATTTATGCTAGGTTTGGAATGGCCCAATTCAAAGCAGCACAGAGAGACAGCCCAATAGGACTGTCCGACTTCGAGTTTAGAGATACACATTGCGCCTCCGATTAGCACGGTTGGCTAAGTACGGTACAAATTGAGCATTTCTGATAGGATGTGTGCACAGATGTGTGTGCTGGGGTAGTGGTGGCGCATTGGTTAGTGCACTGTACTACGAACGCAGGAACCTGAGTTCAATTCCCCCCCCCCACCCATGGCTAGCATCAGTGGTGAATATCTAAAACAGTTCTGGGGCTCCACTAGGTTGACTGCCTTAAACATTAGCCACATGAAGTGTGGGTAACTAGGTTAAGGTCTTGATTGCTTGTGTTGCGATCGAAACGTCGTGATATTTTTTTTTATTAACACATTCCTGCGGAGGGAGCTGGTAGGAAGGTTGGGTTGCTCGCAGGTCAATGGCCAGGGTCAAGGGCGGCACCACCTCGTGGTGTATTCCGCACAATATTCCCGACTCTGAGGGCGGGCACACGCCGGCGTGAAGGGTGGGGACCGAGTGGGGACCTGGGATGGTGGAGAGGAAAAAAAAGCTGTTCCTCAAATAAAAAAGACTACAATACCCACGAATTGGCGGCTTATAAAGTAGAGATTGAGAGCAGCCGTATACTACAAACGAACGTTGTTGATTCTCCATCCACGTGGAGGGGAAAATGTCGTGAAGATGGCCGGCCGGTGGTTGGTGGCCACCCACCCCCACGTGGTGTGCCGTGGCCGCCTTACCCACCCAGCCCCTCCCCTCTCCACCCAGCCCCTCCCCTCTCCACCCAGCCCCTCCCCTCTCCACCCAGCCCCTCCCCTCTCCACCCAGCCCCTCCCCTCTCCACCCAGCCCCTCCCCTCTCCACCCAGCCCCTCCTCTCTCCACCCAGCCCCTCCCCTCTCCACCCAGCCCCTCCCCTCTCCACCCAGCCCCTCCCCTCTCCACCCAGCCCCTCCCTCCCCACCCAGCCCCTCCCTCTCCACCCAGCCCCTCCCCTCTCCACCCAGCCCCTCCCCTCTCCACCCAGCCCCTCCCCTCTCCACCCAGCCCCTCCCCTCTCCACCCAGCCCCTCCCTCCCCACCCACCTCTCCCCACCCAGCCCCTCCCTCCCCACCCTCCCCTTTCTACCCAGCCCCACCCCTCCCATTTTTGTATGCACGACGGACGGACGCAATAATCCCCTGTGGGCTGGTGGAACCAGGAGGTTCCTACCAGTATTATTTTCTATCTACGTGGCTTTACCGAAAGACCCATAGAATAGGTTAAGGTCAATTCTAATGTTCCGTACAGAAAAAGACGGGAAAGTGTTTTTCTCATGTCATAACTAAATAGACATAATAAAATACATTTAAGGTGTTACTGTTAGCCATCATCAAATACAATAGATAAAAATAGTTGTTAAATTGTAGTTTTGTATAAAAGAGGAGTTGACGCAAATTATAGGATTAAAATTCCTGTAATATCTGTAAATCATATTATTTCACAGCCACTTTACAAAATATCACACATTCTAGAAATTACATATTTCCGTAAATTCTACAGTGTTTAATGGCAATCAGAGGTGTGAATAAAACATATACAATGCTTAGGGTCGATTACCAGCATTTATATTTTTCAGAGGTTGTGCAAAGATGTGGAAAACACGGAGCCTCGTTCATAGTATGTACTGACTTGCATCACGCACGTTTGAACCTCGGATAAATAAGACACTTGACCATCAAATAATGATGGGAGACGACAAATACAATACAGTAAATGCCTCTTAGTGTTAATAACTTCGTACAAATTGTGCATTTGGAAAAACAATTGACAAGAAGCCTTGGTTAGTTATAAGGGATAACATTTTATCTGAGATTGGAGGCAGTTAATTTATCACCAAAACCAGCACCGGTTGAATACAGTGACATGCTGTACATGTTCCGTTGTAATGCCAAATTTAGCAAACATCACTGTCATCAGCCACTGTCCATCTCCTGGTGCATGAAGGCCCCCCATGTTGCCACCATCCCCTATGATTAATCTTACTCCTGTACATGAACTGCTCTCATTGCTCCATCTCCACAATGATTGTCCTCTCGGACACATTCCCTCCTTCAGCTGTCATTCCATCACTCATCTTGTTATTAGTGATGTATCCTACCCCAAAAAAACAATTGTCTTCACAGTCACTTTGCTGTTTCTTATTTGAAATGTGTTCCCTCGTTCGTGTGTTCCTCTTTTTATCTTTCAGTGTAAATGCTCACGAGCTTGGAATTTTGGGATTGCATTAATAGGTATCAATACATTACTATGTATGCATGTATGTTTAACTTATTTCGCACCGTACATAGCCAACTATGCTAATCGAGGTACGAACTATGTTAATCTGCAACATATTCTCTGAATTATAAACTATTGACATGTTTACTTTGTTGTTTTAATCATGCATAGTGTAGTGTTAGATGTGTGTATGTTGTATGCACTTACGAAAATCGTTCCACTGTCGTGCTCCTGTATGAATCCTTTAAAGAGCTGCTTTTGTAGATATTGTCTATCTGCAAAGGATAACGTTTCATTATTTTTCCATAAAAGGGCCTTTTGAAAATACAGTGTATTTCATAGTAGGGTCCACTTTGCACAATGCATTTCAAAAGATTAGTCTTAAATGTTTTTTTAAAAGAATGCAACATTACACTGCAACAAACATATTTCATTTGGGACTCTTGATTCATGAATGATCCTTATTTGAACGCAGACAATCTATACAATACTATTACATAGGCTTTTGTCGCAATGCTATACAATTCTCTGATGTGGTTTTGGGTTGTGCAGCATGATGTTCGGTATGGAATTGAATCAAATAGTTCCTGAATAAGCTCCAAGTAAGTGCATCGAAACGTCAGACATCACGCTGAACAACACCTGAAGCAACCCGAAAACACATCAAAGAGCAAAGTATACACAATGTATAAATGTCATAATCACTGTTATAAATTTACTGAGAAAATACATTACCTCATCGATGATTACTTTTGACAACATCTGAAAATCATTGGATGTCTTGTCGTTTAAGGATTCGTTAAATATTTCGTTCATAATCTTAAATGTAAGGTTAAACGTTGGGAATGCTGGTGGTGCCAGTGTTGACATGCTAGGCACATCTGTTGAGACTCCGGTCGATGCTGAGCTTGCCGTCCCATTCGGAGTTGCTGCTGACAGAGTAGGTGACATCGTAGCGGAAGACGAACTGGTCATGTTCGTAGAAGGGCTGGTCGCGTTCGTGGACATTGTTGTAGATGAGGTAGGAGCACTACCACTTGCCGTATGAAATGTTTCTGTGGCTGTGGTCGCTGAAGCAGTTGTCACTGTAGAATTTTCTGACCCTGGAGATGTGGTCACAGCCATTGTGGTGGAATTGACTGGAACCACAGTACTGCTACTGAGTGAGGCAGTAGTGGTACTCTCATTGATGCCAGAGCTGGTTGTCGAAACATGTGTTGTGCTCGTACCCTGAGATGGGGTTGCAACCGCAGTGGACGTATCATTAGTGGAATATGTCGGAACATTTGGAGTTGACACATTGTGAGGAGAAGTAACTGAAGACCCTTCTGTGGAAGAAAACGCCGTCGTATTATTTGGATGGTTGGTGGAGGCAGATCCTGTGTGGCTTGTGGACAGTTGTGTTGTTGCTTGGGTGACATTGATACTGGACGTGGCATTATTCCAGGAAATTGTCGTCTCAGACATCACCGTGCTTGCCGTGAGATTTGCTTGGGATGTGGCTGCGCTTATATTTACTGTAGGTGTGGTGGTGGCCCACGATTCCGTGGACATCATTGTGGTACTATTTGATGTCGTTCCTGTTACTTGGCTGGCAGTGGAGTTTGATGGTGAAGATGGACTCATCGTCGTGGCAGGAGTGGTGGTGTTGGTCGACGAGTGTGTTGTCCCAGAGGTCGTGTGAGATGCGGTGTTGTTCCTTGACTCCGTGGTCTCAGCCATCATAGTTGTATTCATTGATGTGACCGTGGGCGAGCTGGTAACACTGCTTGCTTGTGATGACGTACCAGGTGTTGCAGTGCTCGTAGCATTGATCGGCTGCGTTAGCGCGCTCACGCTTGTCGACTGCGTGGTGCTATTCGACGATTCTACCGCTCCAGATGTCACGTGAGTCGTGCTGTTGTTGAGGAGCTCCGTAGTCTCAGGCATCATGGTTGTAGTCACAGTGGCCTCGAATGGAGTGCTGGTAACACTGCTCGGTTGCGATGATGTATCCGGTGTTGCAGTTGTATTCATGGTGGTGTGCGGGGAAGCGCTTGTAGCATTGTTTGAGTCTGTTGATGTGCTTGCATTTGTTGATTGCGTGGGAGTGTTAGACGATGCTGTACTCGCATTTACCGTTGTTTTTAGTGTGCCCTCTGTTACAGGATTGGTAGTCTCATGTGATGGCGATGTCGTTGCACTTATGTTCAAAGCGGATGTGGTGTTGTTCGATTGTACTGTGGTTTCAGACATTACTGATGTCTCTGTTGTGGGACTGGAAGTAGAGTTAACCTTCGGTGTTTGAAATGATGTTAAAGAATGGGTACTGGTCTCAGTGTCATTGTTTTGAGATGCAGTAGTGAGATGAGACCCACCAGTTGACACGAACGATGAGGTATGATTTACAATGCCGGTTGTTATTGACATCGTGACTGTAGAGATTTCACTCGGAGTTGTTGATAAAAACGGTAGCTCTGACGTCATAGAGGTATTGAGGGGCATGCTGGTGGATGACCCAGTCACATTTGCTGTATATTGCGGGCTTGTTTCTGGGGTTACAGCTGAAATAGGCCCGGTCACTGATGGCCTTTGAGTGCTCTCTGTCAAGGTAGTTTCATTGACCGAAGTGGAAGTTACAACGCTATGCGATATTGTGGTAGACACGGTTGCTCTATCGGTAGTAGCATTGGGGCTGGCTGCTATGGTGGTTTCAATAGTTGATGTACCATTAGATTCTGCGGTAACAATTGGTGAAATTGCTGATGGTTCTGGAGAAGTCTGATGTGGAGTTGCAGATGAAATGGCTGTGGTGTCAGTCACAATTGACACTGTACTCACTGATCCTGGGAGGCCCTTAGCAGATGTGAGCATTTGCGATGAAACCGTGGCATGAGATGTTCCGTTCACGGATGTGGTTGTTTGATCTAAACTTGATGATGATGTTGCCACAACTTGTTGGGTGTGTGTCCCAGTGTTGGAAGGAGATGTTTGCTGTATGGGTGTGGTTGCAAATGCAGTTGTGCTAGGAGCAATAATATTTGTATCTGTCATGGATGTTGACAGATTTGATGCTGCTGTAGACTGCACAGTATTTGACTCAGTCGCGTGGCTTATGCTTGTTGTAGTCTGTGCAGCTAAACGTGGCATCTTGGCTGAAAACAGATGAACAAAGTATTATAGTTAATGTGACATCCATTTATCTCTAATCAACCACCATTTAAATCTCTTAGTGACCACTGATATGACGTCCAATGGAAAATATAATGGCTATATATAGACATCTTTTAACGTATTTTCACATGGGGATGATAATATATTCAGTTACAGGCACATATACTGGCGCATCTGCACCTTCATAGGCACTAATCAGAAAACTTTCAACTGTGATCTTGGTCTCAAGTGCCAGTTTAAACTTGGTCTGAAGCGCAAGTTTAAACTGCGGCAACAATATAGGCACACAATTTTGATTTAAAGCTTTCGTGACTGCAGCAATTCATATTCTTAGTTCTTTCGGTAAAGTCACGTTGAAGGGAAACAATAAAATAATAAAATATATATAAAACAATTAAAATTCTCACGACGTTTCGACCATAACACAAGACAGAGGTTCTTTGTAAGCCATCTGGCTACCATGAGAGATTCGTTCATGAGGCTATCCACATATACAAGCACAGAGACAATTTCAACCGAGAAGATGGATTCTGGCTTAGCAATCATTGGAAAGATTTGATAAACCATTTCAGGTCTTAATTGATTGTTCACGCTTACAGTGGCTTTTAGACAGCATACATTAAAAAAAAAATTCGTCTCCCCCCTCCTCTTTTCAGAACATAGATGGACTAGTCCTTCTAAATAAACTGCCAAATCGCTGCGCGTGGCGCTAACGTTTTTTTTTATAAATAAATAAATACACCGTTTAAAAATAAATACATTTATGCAAACCGACACACCTGATGACGACCGTTTGTGTTAACACCTGATACGACCGTTTGTCTTATGGTCGAAACGTCGTGAGAATTTTTATTGTTTTATATATATTATTATTTTATTGTTTCCCTTCAACGTGACTTTACCAAAAGAACTAAGAATATAGGCACACTTCAGCTATTCACACGAATGCAAGGGGGGAACTTTTGCCAATCGTAAGAATATGGCCCCTTTCGTGAATACAATGAGGCTTATTGTGTAGGTGGCACACTGACAGGGCATAAAGAGTGGTTGGGCTGACAGGACCACGGAAGAGGCGTTTAGCTGATGAGGAACAGAGTGAGAATGTGGCAGCAAACCAATGGGACGCGTAGCAGGTCGCATGAATACTTCGCAGAAACTGAAGGTCTAAGGAGACAAGATTAAAATGAGTTTTGGTGTGCAGGTGACGCTGGTTTTCAGCTAGCATTTTGGCAGCTTCATTAATGGGAGTGGTTAGGTGAGAGGTTTCTGTATCTTTATTCCAGGTGTCAGCAACAAATATAAATGCGGGGATCGTAGAGGACACGGTAATGTGCATACTGTAATTATATTATTTAACTTTTGTTCGCCCAGGAAAGCCAACCTCACTGAGTTTTATGACCTTTCTTTCAGGAGGGTCCTGCCAAGTTTTCACAGTAGGGCCGACAATTTATATGTATATTCCAATTGAGTAAACTGCATTTTTTTTTCAAATTTGGCAAATTTGTACCTTGTCTCCAGCACACACAATGGCATACTCTTTGCGAATGACATTACAGGATCTTTAATCTCCACTGTGAAGCGGACGGCCAATGTTTGTATGGTTAGCAAACCTGCAGTATTAATCAGGACGGCCACTGGATTCGAACCATGAACCTCTACAATGAACGCACTATCACTACGTCATGTCACCATCCTGTGTACTGTGTATTTACATAGTATTGGGTATAATGCAACGCCTATACTTCTTAGTTTTTCATGTATTTGTTTGCGTGATGTACAGCACCTTGAGTATTTTGTAGGAAGGCGCTTCGTAAATGTAATTTATTATCATTATAAAGCAGCTTAAAAATAGCTAAACATAATCCCAGACTTACTCAGGGAAAAGTTTTGTATATTCATATCGCATATCCATAGATCCCAAGTATTCTCACTTATGCACTATTGGTCACAGTCTGATCGCGAAATCTGTTTGCATATGCACCAGTGCAAGGATATTGACAATCCCATGTACTTCGATCCAGAGAGTGTGAATTAATTGGGGTTAATATTATAACCCTTTGTCAATCCACTGCTGGATGAAAGTCTCCCAACTGTGTGTTAGTTGTGGGAATTGTTTTGCCATACTTCACCACACTTGTCAGCTATGGCCAGGAATCTAACTCGTGTGGCCTTTTTTTAGGCGCAGTGTAAGAACCACTGAGCGATAGCTCAACCCCCCTATGAAAGTGATACTGGGATGTAAATAAGGATTTTTTTACATGTTTAAGGTTCCACAAGTGAAACTGCATTTCAGGTATACATTGGGGAAAGATTTACAGCTTCTGCAAACCATATATAAAGTGATAATCAAAACCAGGGACACTGTGGGGCTGATTAAAATATATGTGGTTGGTAGAGTGGCAGGTGGCAGAAGTGCAGAAAATTAAGGAAGAAACATCGAGTTATAAATAATATTAGGATAATTAAACACGATTTGGTTTGGCAGAACTGATTACTTTATTGACAGTAGCAAGTGGATGAACTGTAAAACAAAAATGGGGACGGCAAGACTTAATTTTATATTGTTGGCAGACTTAGTGGTGATCGTTCACAAAGTATAAGTTCAATACCTATTCGGGATGGCAGTGCCACAGGATTTTCGGAGAAGAACGTTTCGTGGATGCGGTGGAACTGATTTAGCACTGAACAAGGAGCTACAAGATCCATTATAATCGCTGATAATTGTTGAAAGAGCACACTTTATAAAAAAAAATGGCAGAAATTACTGACGAGCTGGAGAACATAGAATACATTTAAACAGAAGTAAAATGGAAAAAATGTGGTAAGCCTTTAAGAGTGTGGGGTTTTGCCGCTGATATGTTTAAGGAAAAATACATGCTTGAAGTATAGAAATGAATTGCCAAGATACAGGGTGTGGGCTCAGTTTAACATAGGATTGGAAATATCATGGGTGCATGACTAATGTTTATGCAGTAAGCATAGAATTTACATTTTTTTAAGCACAAAGAGATTGACGTGACGACAATAGATTGGTGCCAGAAAGATATGCACTACTTGAACATATTAGCACAAGTCAAAGCAAAGTAGAAACAAATGACTAAATGTGCAGTGGACACCTATGGGCTATCTGGCCACGGACCGTGATGACCCTGATGATGCACAAAGAGTGCTAATCTCCCAGTTACATGCTAATTTCTGACTTTAACATCCTGCTAATCTCTCACATTAACACAGCCACTTCAATGCTAAATTATTCTGTTGATATGTAAACTCCTTTGTCAAGGCGCTCTGCTCCTCCCACCCAGCTTAAAATACGCTGCCAAACTTAGCAGTGTTCATTGGAGCGCTGTCTTTCCGACACTTCTGTTTCTTCACCTGAGGAAGGCTACTTGTGTTGTGGCCGAAACGTCGCGAGAATTATATTTTATTGTGTTTTATTTTCATTATTTTATTATTTCCCTTCTACGTGACTTTACCGAAAGAACCAAGAAGATAAATCTTAGACTTCCTCTCTAAATATACAGAATTTCACGAATGAGAATATGCAAGTGTTTGAGTAAAAATTCCACTGAGTCTATTATGCCTCTGGGATCAATACAAAGGATACAGTACAATTGTTATTCTTAGTTTTTTCGGTAAAGTCACGTTGAAGAGAAACAACAAAATAACAAAATATATATAAAACAATAAAAAATTCTCACGACGTTTCGACCATAACTCAAACGGTCATCATCAGGTGTGTCGGTTTGCATAAATTTATTTTGAAAACGGCATATTTATTTATATAAATAAAAATAACGTTTGCGTCACGCGCAACGATGGCAGTTTGCCAGGACTAGTCCATCTATTTTTTGAAAAGAGGAGGGGGGAGACGAAATTTGTTTTTATGTAAGCTGTCTGAAAGGCACTGTAAGCGTGAACAATCAATCAAGAACTGAAATGATTTATCAAATCTTTCCAATGATTGCTAAGATAGAATCCATCTTCTCGGTTGAAATTGTCTCTGTGTTTGTATATGTGGATAGCCTCATGAACGAATCTCTCATGGAAGCCAGATGGCTTACAAAGAACCTCCGTCTTGGAAAAGTCAATGGCATGTGAGCCTACTGAATTAGAACAATGATCTGCTACGGCCGAGGTGTTGGTCCTACCGTGTTTAAGGTCTGCTTTATGTTCACGAATGCGGTCCGAGATATGGCGTTTGGTTTCTCCAATGTAACTACTACCACAGAGGCAACTTAGTTTGTAGACACCAGGGTATTGTATGTCCGGAATCACATCTTTTACAGACGGAACCAGATCACGGATTTTATGTAATGTGTTGAAACGGACCTGGATCTTGTGTTTATTCAAGATTTTGGAGATCTTTTTTGTGATCCCAGCAATGTAGGGTAAAGTGATGGTTTTGAAAGGCTCCTCAAGAGGGTTCTTCTTCATGGTTTGAGTGATAGCTTTGCGGATTGTATAGTCGGAGTAACCATTAGCCCTAAGAGCTTGGTGTACGTGCTTGAGTTCACTGCTTATGTGTTCCTGGTCGGATATGCATTGGGCTCTATGATACAGAGTCTTGATGAGAGAATTCTTCTGTGATGGATGGTGGTGGGAATCCGGTTTCAGATAAGCATCCGTATGGGTAGCTTTCCTGTAGACAGAGTGGCTCATTGAACCATCAGGTCTCTTTTTAATTAGGACATCCAAAAAAGGTATCTTGCCATCTATTTCGACTTCCATGGTAAATCTGATGGCAAGATACCTTTTTGGATGTCCTAATTAAAAAGAGACCTGATGGTTCAATGAGCCACTTTGTCTACTGGAAAGCTACCCATACGGATGCTTATCTGAAACCGGATTCCCACCACCATCCATCACAGAAGAATTCTCTCATCAAGACTCTGTATCATAGAGCCCAATGCATATCCGACCAGGAACACATAAGCAGTGAACTCAAGCACGTACACCAAGCTCTTAGGGCTAATGGTTA